CACGTTCAAAAGCAATTTATAGGAGAAAAGCTACCTCAACTTGAATGGCTTCTATTAGTGTAGGGGAAAAATTATGCAAATTCCAAATTATTCTTATCTGCTTAATGGCACCCTAACATTTCTTCACCCTACTTTCCTGAAAACCAAGAAGACTACATTTCTTTATAGATATCTTATAATTCCACAGTCTCGCTTGGGTCTCCAATAACAAAAGTGGATAGAAATAGGATGTTTCAAACCCTTTGGAAACATCTACTGCATGATCATAGGTTCTGTTTACCGAGAGCTGGCTATGAGCCATGGAGAAAACTGAGGCCCAGAGAAGTTAAGCAACTTGCCCGAAGCCACACAGCCAGAAATCTCCATGCTATATTCTGCTTCTGTATTGGTGGTAAAACAAACAAACAAACAAACAAACAAAAAACAAACACACACACACACAAGATGCTCATTGCAAATAATTCTACTCTGTCCTTTGAGGGCAAGAGATCCCTTGGATTTAAGAGAGGGGCCTCTCTTCCATCAGTTTGGGGAGATTAGGATCTCCCATTGGTCCAGCTAGTGGAGTTTGCAGTCAATTTAAGAGAGTCAGCCTGGTGTTAGATCTTTTCTTAAATCCCAACAGCTGAAACATTCTTTCTCCAGGAGAGCACATGACTAAGCAGAACTGAATGGGGTACGAGTGGTCCCCGGAGCTCTTGTAGACATGAGCAGCTCCCAGGAGCCTATTATTCAGCCTCACCCTGGAAATTCCCAGCCATTCATTTCTTTGTTTTTCTGCCTGGCCTCACCCAAAAGGGAATGTACAGAGAGCACAGGGGAGGGGAAGGGGACTTGTGGCAAAGAAAGGGCACAGAGTGAGGAGCCTGTAGGTAGCTAGCTACCGCCCACAGGACCCTGCAAGCCTTGAGGGGGATGGAGTGGGCTGGCCTGGTGCAGGGGCAGGGCTGCGGTCGGGCGGGGGGGGGGGGGGGGGGGGGGGCTCTAAAACTTTGGCTAGGTGCCAAATCCCTAATTTGGAGGGCAGTCAATGCAGGGCAAAGGAGGCAGGCAGGAGAGGAAGTGGTGGGTGGGGGCAGGGACAGCAGCTTGAAGGTGCAGCCCCTCAGCCCTCCCACCCCTGGAGTCTGGATCCCATAGCTCTGAAGTGGGATGGGGCATCTATACTTTTAAAAATCTGTGGCTCATACTTTCAGAAACGGTGGCTAAGATTCAAGTGCTGGAGAAAGACTTCAGGTCACATGCCGTCTCTGCTGTGTGACCCCGGGCAAATCACGTGTGCTTTGAGAGCCTTACTTTCCTCACCTGTAAGATGGGGACGTTCTATGCAAAGAACTTAGCGCACTGCCTGGCACTTGATAAACATTAAATAAGCTTTGGCTGTTATTATCCACCCTCATGGCTCAGAGACCTGACAAGCCCAATCGGAGATTTCTGAGTCTCCAGCAAACTCTGCGTGAATCTGGGTACCACCTGAGCTGGAGTGTAGCTCTGTAAGCGAGAGAACACAGAACATTCCAGGATCTCTGGGGAACTGCTCTGGCCTGAGCCCGAATACAGGTTTCTCCCACCCTCCATCCTCTTGGGGAGCATGAGCAGTTCCTCACCTAAGGATGTGATATAAAAAATCAAACAAAGCAGGGACACCTAGTTCCATTGCCAAGCCTCTACTGGTGTTCCGTGTTGCAGGAAGGATGGGGTTCAGGGAGAGGCTGAAGACCTGTGACCTCGTCTCTGAGCTCCTCATTGGGGGTGCGAATGGGCAAAAGCAGGGGGAAATGGGTTGGAGGGGGCACAGGGAGAGTGGCTCGCTGCTGAAGGAAGTACTAGAATTTATAGCCTGTGAAGGGGCAGCAAACTCAGACTCCCGCAGGAACCTCAAACCCAAGTGTCTATAGGGTTTGGCAGGTAGTGAAATGAAGAAGGAAGCCAGCAGGGTAGAAGCGAAGTCATGTGCCCATCGTGATCTGTTTTTCCTTGTCCTGCTTTTGGTGGAGACTCAGGCTGGGACAAAAATATCCTTGCTTTGAGACAAACAAGAGAAGGGCAATCATAAATGGCATGGCCTGACGTGGCCACAGGCTCCAGGAGCACGAGGGGGTGGAGGGGATGCTAGAGGATGTGGGGGGGCAGGGTGTCTCACCCTGGCCTCACCCCATCTCCAGAGGCAGTCGCTGCTTGGGGCCCACCCAGCCCCTGTCCGACTGCAGGTCACACACCTAGTGGGGCCAGAAGACCTTCCCAGTCACGGAAGAGTGGGTTTGTGTGTGTAATTTCCTGATTTTTAAATGCTGTCTCTGATTTTTTAAAATTCTGTGTATACATCAAACCTAAACTGCCATTGGTTGTGAGACATTCTGATATTTAATAAACAACCAGTAAAGAAAACAAGACCTGTCGATTAAACTATGACAAGCCCTTGATTGTAAGACAAACCCCAATCCCAAAGATATCACAATGTGGAAAAAATGCACACCTTCAGATCCATGAAATACTGTGTAATAAGAGGCTGGACTTGGTCTGTGGTACCTGGTGCAGTTCCCAACCTGCACAACTGTACATGGCAGCTCTTGGGATGCCACCCTGGGACACTGGAGGGCTTAGGGACCACGAGGAGGTTTGTGTTTGGGTCATATCTCTGAACACCCAAGTCCCTTGAGAAATAATCGCTTTTGATGTTAATCTGGACCAGCAGTGAGTCAAGGCAGCAAAGAGGAAAATGTGGCCCAGTTCGCTCCCATGGGTCATCAGATCACTAATGGTGATACCAAGGCCCCTGAGATGGTGGTTTAGTAGTCATGGGGAAGGGTGGGGTGGCTGTATAAGGGATTCTGATTCCTGCCACGGATGGGAACCACTAGGAGAAATCTCACATCTGATTTTATACAGGCTCAGAGAGGTAAAGGCCCTGCTCAGTGTCACATAGCTGGGCAGAACAGAGCCAGGCCAGGGGCTCAATCCTCCTCACCCCCATCCCCAGTGCTGCTTCTCCTGCTGACTGTAAAAGTTCCTGCCACTCTGCCCCAGGCAGGCTGGACCCAGAGATTCTTGGCCCCCTCCCTTGTTCCATTGCCCCTGAGGCTCCAGTTGCTGAGCCTGCCCTAGAAAAAGCTACGTTATTCGATTCACAAGACTTTTCCATTTTATTAGTAAAATACAAAATGGCACAGACATTGGTGATAGGGTTGGAAAAGCAAAAGGATCAACCAACTCCTTCCAAAGTTCCCCCCAAATTGTCCTTGTCCGTGTCCTGCTTGGGAGAACTAATCAAATCCGTGGAAGGGGGACTAGCTGTTCCCAGCTAATTGCTCACAAAAGTAGGGGAGCTCCACCCATTGAAGGGTCTCCCACCAGCCTCGAGGAACCCCCAAAAGTGCATTCAGACCGGCTGCCTGCCCTCTGAGCCGTCAGTGACCCCCACTAGAGCCAGGCCCCAACATCCCAGGTCATGTCCAGCAGGGGATGCAGGAGGGCTGGGTGGACTCGGGTGGCTGCCCCCTCTCTGTGGACCAGAGCTGTGTCTGCTTCCTCTGAGCATCTATCTAAGTGGAGTGTCACCCACCCTGGTCCGTGGGAGGCTCCCCAGGTGGAGGAAGGCAAGGGTCACCTACGGGGACCTTTGAGGAAGGTGGGGAGCTGCCATCAGGGACCCTGAGGGGTGAGGCCAGCAGCCAAAAAGGGAACCCCTGACTTTGTGCCCACAACTTCCCTCCCCATAGGACGGAGTCTCTTTCAGAGGTAAACACGAAACCTCAAGTTTCAACGATGGATTCTGATCTCATGGAAAATGTCCTGGAAATCCCTAGCCCTGCCTATGGTGGGCAGGAAGGTGAGGGCAGATCCTGGAATGGGGACAGCAGTGTTTTTAGGGAGCGAGAGACGGGGCAGGGGGGGAAGCCAGGCTGCAGGAAAGACACAGCAAACGCCCGGGGCCCAAGTCCCTGACTCGGGCATGGAGCTGCTCCCAGCAGCCTCCCCACCCCCGGGTTCCTTTCCCTGAGCACCTCAGCCTTCCCAGGAGCCTGCAGGCCTTCCCTCCTCCTCAGCCTGTCCCACAGGCTGTCTGCACGTCCCTGCGAGCCTGGTGGACTCTGGGAGGGCTGCTCTCCAAGCCAGGCACCGGCCTGCCCCTCAAGCACCCCCCCAGTCCCCACTCAGGGGGCCCACAGAGCTGACTCCCTCCCACGGAGCAGGACCTGAGCTTTCAGATCCCTTCCTTGACACACCCCCCCGCCACCGCCTGAAGGCACAGGGCCCACCGATGTGCCAGGCTCCCTGATGGGTGAAGCCCGGCTAGGGTATTCTGTGGTGAGGCTATACCCCCGGTCTGGGAACAGGGGTCTCTGGATCAATGAGTGATGCCCATCAGCGTACAAGTTATCGTCACACATTTGCCACGTCTCCTTCCTTCCACAGACGGAGAACCAGAGGTACGAATGTCCTGCTGGGTTGGTGGTGGACCTGGGCCGAGAACCCCAGCCTTCACACCCACAGCCGAGGTTCCGCCAACGCACGGCATCGACTGGGGAGAGGAAAAACCATCCAAGCCACCGGGTCACTTCATGTCCCCTTCCCACGATGCCTAACGGAGGGCAGAGCCTTCCCGGGAGCAGTCCCAGGGAACACCACAATAGGCTCATGCAAGAAAAGACAGGTCCCCGGCTGGGTGTGGGCTCTGTACAGGGGCGGGGGAGATAGCACCGCAGGTGGCCGGGGTGACTGGCGACTGCAGCGGGACCGAGAGACACGATGAGGTCCGAGGGAGCGGGCAGAGGGGGCCTGGCCTGAGGCTCATTTGTGACAGGGGGATGTGACCCAGAGGGGCTGGGCATTTTCTAATAAATAATTGTTCATCAGGTCTGGGACCGTGTCAAAGGGAACCTCTCACCAGCCAGCAGCAGAAGTTTCCTGACTTGGGGACATTGGGGTGAGTTGCAGAGGCCACCACTTCTGTCCCCAGGGGGTCAACAGCGATCAAGGGTGGCCTCCTGGCGTATGCCCGGGAGCCGTTGCGTGTGGAAGAGCCTGCCTCCTCGCTCTGATCACCCCAGCTCAGGTCAGGCCCTTGGGTGAGGGTGGGTGTGAGGACGGGGGACCCCAGGCAGCTGTCGGAGCCGAACAACTGGAGGCAGGCAGGGGGCCAGCTCACACTGGCACCAGGACATAGGAGTTGCTGCCACAGCTCCGGGGGACATAGCGAAGCCCCTCCACCATGTCCCCGGCTAGCTTGCGGGGACAGCCCTGGAGGCTCTGATAGGCAAACATGGCCACCCCCAGGCAGAAGAGGAGGCCAAGGAAGGCCAACAGCCCCACCGCCTGCCTCCGGGTAGCTGCCTGCGAGTCGGGGACGGGAGTGATGAGGACACCCAGCCTCTGGGGGTCCACGGTGGCATGGATGGGCTCCTCCGCCTTGGAGGTCCAGCTGCCTGAGGCCACTGGCTCCCTGCTGGGGACCCTTTGAGAGGAGACAGGGACCGTGGAGAGACGGGGCGTGCCGTCAGGCCCCCCGAAAGTATGCGTGTGAGCTGAGGTGGGATCCATCTCCTCAGGCCCTAGAGAGTTCTCTGGCATGGGATTGTCTCCTGTGATCCACACAGGTTGGCCTTCAGGGCCAACACTGTCCTCTGAGGCTGTGTGTGAAATGGTGGGGGTGTGGGTAGGGGGGGCCTGGGTAGGGAGGGTCTGGGTGGAGGGGGCCTGGGTGGGGGGGGCCTGGGTGGAGGGGGCCTGGGTGGGGGGGGCCTGGGTGGAGGGGGCCTGGGTGGGGGGGGCCTGGGTGGGGGGGGCCTGGGTGGGGAGGGCCTCAGAGGCCTTTCCCTCCGTCCAGAGGCCCGACCCGGGTTTGTAGGCAGAACTCTGCCAGGACGTTGCGGTGGTGAGGGCAGCAGCGTTGAAAAACTCAGTTTTCTGGGACCCAGCTGGAGGTCCTCCATCCGGAGCCTTTGGAGTGGAGGGGAACCTGGTCCCCCAGGAATCAGCCACTCCTGTTGGCAGCTCTGAGGAAGTCCCCGAGGCCCTCTGTGCCTCCTGGCCACTGTTTTCCTGGGTGGATTTGGGCTCTGGGACCGCAGGCCTGTCCATTCCCCTGGTGGCCGGGGCGGTCCTGGGCTCACCCACACCGATTTGCTTCTCGAACGTGCCGCCATTTCGATCTGGAACAGCAGTCTGGCGTTCTAGATGTGCTATGGCTTTCTGAACCCATTTCTCCTTCGGATCGGCACAGAAGGTTCTGTTCTTTATCGTCCTCAAGCTACAGGGAAGGAAAACAGGGACCCAGTGATGCCCAGATGCCACGTGGAGTAGAAGCATCAAAAAATTGCTCTGCAGGTGAACAGACCCGGCTGGAAACCCTGCTCCCACCCCTTATTAGCTGTGAGCTGTGAGCTGATTAGCTCAGGCCGCTTGACTCCTAGAACTTGCGTGTCCTCACCTGAGAAATCGAGATCGCATACCTACCTTCTGTAGCGTGACCAGCCTCCCCAGAAGAGCTGGGACTGAGGGGGTTCCTCAAGATACAGGACTTTTTGTGAAAGTCCCAGAAAACTGGGGCAAGCTGGTCACCCACTTCAGTGTTATTATAAAAAAAAAAAAAGAAAATTATGTAAAACACCTGGCTCAGAGTAACAGCCGAAAATGATAACGATGTTAATAATAATAATGTCTTCACCATTAAGGCAGGGAGCTCTGGGCTGTGCCTTCTGACTGGGGGGAGCTGTCCACCAGTGTTCCCTGCTGCCAGGTGTGTGACTGGTGAGCTCTGGAGTGGGGCCTCCTTTCTCTGGAAGGAGCTGACCCAAATGTCCCTTCCTCTGCTCCCTCAGTTACAGGCTGCCCTCTGGACCTCTACCTCTTAGTGTGTCTCCTCAGGCCGAAAGCACACTGAGTGAGCTCCAGCCACATACTCGGGGGTCCCGTTGGGACCGCAAGTGCCATCTAAATCTTGAGCTTCCTCCGAAGCTGGGTGTGGCTGGCTCACTGCCTAGAACACAGCTCAGAGCTGACAGGAGCTCATGCTCCACACCTCTGTGCTAGGCGTTTTGCCTATTTAAACCTCCCACCCATCCCGAGAGGTGGCTATGGCGACCATCCCCATTTTACAGATGAGAAAACCGAGGCTCAGAGAGGTCATGTGAATGTGCATGGCTCTGGTTCGCTGAGGAAACCAGAGAAGTGCGGGAAGCAAGCATAACGCTTCAGGCCCCCAGAGGCAAGGTGCGGCCCAGGGCCGTGGTCCCCTCCCTGGGGCTTCCCACTTCCTCTTTACCTAGAAAACAGAAGCAAATAATTGGGGGAGTCTGGGGGGAGCAAGCCTCACCAGGCGAGGGGAGGAGAGCTCAGGCAGTAGCCCCCATGCCCCTCTTAGCAGCTGCACGGTTGGTGGAATGAAGCACACGACTTCTTTTCGCTGAGCCCTATACTTCGAGAACCAGTCTGTAGACTTGGCCCGAAGTCTCACAAGGATCCTGTTTCCCCCACTGTCAAGTGTGGACAATAATCTCTGTTATTGCAACAGCTTCCAGGCACCCTGCCAAGCTGCTTATTTGCATTATCCCCTGTCATCCTCCCAACTATCCATTTTGTAGATAAGGAAAACTATGGCCCAGAGGGTAGGCAAGTGGACCACCCCCCCCACCCCCTTGTAAGTGATGGAGCCAGGATTTGCACCACATTGGTTGGAGTCTGGAACCTGCGCTCTCAGACCGCCGTGCTTGACGTCCCCAAGAAATGCAGCGGGTCCGACTGCCACCGAAACACACCACCCGCTGTGGCTGCCCCAGGCCTTTCAGGAAACTGCTCCCAACCTTTACCCTTGGGGGCAGATATTAAGGTCAGCCACGGGCCAGGAGGCAGGAGCAGGAGGAGCGATTTGCTGAGGCCCTTGGCAGGAGCCCGGATGAAAAAGAAAGATGTGCATGGGGATTCGCAGAGGCCAACAGGCTAGTACCTACATGATGGCAGGCTTGCCGCAGGATTCTTGATTTCGATGGTAGTGGTCTAGTAAGGCCACGGGAATCTCCGAGGTCATCCTGTTGCAGATCACGTTGCATTTCTTCACACCGAGGTGCTGTCCTGAGCCCACAGAGGCCCCCAGTCAGCAGGACTGTCCAGGGGCATCTGGCTTCCCAGTCCCAGGCCAGCTCGTGCCAGCCGCACCATCCAGGCCACAGCTGCTGACCTGCACGCCCTGGTCTTCAGCACCCTTGACCTCAGCCCCCCTGTTCCCCCTCCCCACCACCAAACCTTTCTATGCCTCAGTTTCCCCACCTGTACAATAGAGACAATGATAGTATCTACCTCACAGCGATGTTATAAAAATTAATGAAAATGAATTCTTGCTTATAAAGCTCCTACTGCCTGGTAAGTAGGGCTTAATTTTTAAAATTAAGTTGTCGTTGGTCAGTTGTACAGAAGAGAGGACAAGTCTGAGAGTGACAGGGATCTGCCTGAGGCCACACAGCCCGCAAGTGAGGGAACGGGATCTCCTACCAGGCCAGGCTCTGGCCCCTTCTGGGCCCATGGCTCTATGTACCCCCCCACACTCCCTTTACCCCAGTAAGTCACCCGCTCAACTATCGCCCCTGACCCTCCACCCACCACATACACACACCGTTCCTCCCTGTCAGGCTGATCCATGTTCGTGGATTTCCATGACCTCTGAGACACACATCATATGCCCACCCTATGACACATCCTCATGCATCCACACACACCAACAAACAGGACGACACATATGAACCCGCCCCCCTGCCACAAAACCATGTAAAGGCATTCATATGACTGGGCACATGGAACAAATAAAAAGTGTTAAATGTGGAAGTACAGTCGCCTTCTAAGGAGGCTGGGGTGGGGTCCAGTGAGTAGGGTACCCTTTGTTCTGCCGTGAAGAGCCAAGATGAGTTTGGCAGCAGTTGCTGAGGGGAACCGAGGGGGTCATTTGGAGTCCCCTGGGCAATTTAGGGGGGCAGGAATAAGGGGGAGGGGTGGAGATGGGGGTTGTGCAAGGGGTGAGGGGCTGACGGGGGTGGCTAGGGGCCTGCTGATGGCACGGAGCCAGAGAGAAACCCCAGGACAGGAGGGGGGTGACTCAACAGACAGTTGAGAGCCCAAATCTTTTTTTAAAGATTTATTTTTGGGGTGCCTGGGTGGCTCAGTCATTAAGCGTCTGCCTTCGGCTCAGGTCATGATCCCAGGGTCCTGGGATCGAGCCCCGCATCGGGCTCCCTGCTAACGGGAAGCCTGCTTCTCTCTCTCCCACTCCCCCTGCTTGTGTTTCCTCTCTCGCTGTGTCTCTCTCTGTCAAATAAATAAATAAAATCTTGAAAAAAAAATAAAGATTTATTTATTTATTTTAGAGAGAGAGTGAATGCACACCTGAGAGAGAGAGCACAAGCAAGGGGAGAGGCAGAGAATCTCAAGCAGATGCCCCGCTGAGCCTGACCAGGGGCTCGATCTCACGACCCTGAGATCAGGACCTGAGCCGAAATCAAGAGTCAGACGCTTAACCACCCCGGCGCCCCGAGAACCAAATATTTCATATAAACATTTGAAGTTGTTTGCACTGCTTTTCCTCTTTCCTCCTTCCCCTAAAATCTCCAGCAAAATTTATTCTCCTTGGTGTCAGCTCAAGAGCAGTATGTGAAAAATAAGGAAGAGCTTGAGCTTCAGCTCTGGGTCAAGGTCATAGGCGGTGAAGCAAGATCCCAGAGGGTTTTGCAAAATTCTAGAGGCCAGGACTTCCAGGGCAGGGGAGTCTAGATTGCTGAATGATCTTCTCCAGCCAGGCAGGGCCTGGGAGGCCCCAGCTGACCCTTACTGCTCATGCACAAGTATTTACGAGGACGTGGATGTGCAAACATGCTCTGCCTTCCCAAATACAGGTGCAAGCACACACACGCCCCTTCTAGAATGTGCCGCCTCCTCTGCCATCACTTCCTCTTAGCCTCAGCCCACCCCGACTATGGAAGGGGGGTTCGGGGCCTGCAGGCTGCACTGGCCTGGGCCATCAAGGGGCAACACTAGCAGCTCCTGGGGCAGGCAGCAAGCACTCCGGTGGCTGGTCCCTGAGTCACAGGCTGCCCTTCCTCTCTGAAGAACCAGGAAGTGAAAGTTACCTTGCTGCCTTTCACCTGCCTTCTCCCGCCCCCCCGAGGGACTTTGGAATGACTCAGCTGTATCCTCCCCAGGCCCTGCTGACCAGAGCCAGGAAGCGCCCCCCATTGGTCTGGCAGGGGTCTTAGGCCATCTGGAGCCGAGGGGAGGCTGCCGGGGGGCAGGAGGGCTAGGCTAGGTATGGTCAGTCGGCTCTCTCGACTCTATGGCGCAGGGTGGGGAAGACCACTGCTCACGTGCTTTGTGGCTTTAAAGAACCACAAAGGCAGCCTGTCCCCAAAGTCCCCACCCTCTGCCACGGTGCCTACATACCCTTGGCCAGGCTCTGTTCTTGGTTTTGCATGGGGAAGGGCTATGTAACTAACCTGAAGGGGGGTTTCTCCTCAGAAGTTTTCTTTTCAGTGATTGGAAATAATGCCTCCAGCCAGCCAGCCATTTACTGCCACATGAATTTCAGGAAGGCAGGGACTTTGTCAGGCTTGGTGTCACAGTGCTTCTCAGCACAAAGTGGATACTCAACAAATATTCACTGAATGAAATAATGTCTCATCCTACTTATCCTTTCACCTACCTCGCCATCTGCCCATCCATCCACATCCATCCATCCATCCATCTATCCATCCCTTTCCTGATTGAGGCAACATTTGTTTGAATTACCTTTGAGTATCTGCAAAGGCCCAGGCTCTCTTGTCCTTGACCCTGAGCTCTTTCTCCCATTGGTGCTGGTGCTGAGCTTAGAGCGAATACCTCAATCCCAATAAACACCATCAGCTTGCAGTGTTTACTCAGTCAACCAATAAATGCTGCCATTCCCTATTCCCTGTGCTGGGTGCTGTGAGGCATAGTCAGATGGAGGCCTGTCTCTGCCCTCAGAAGGTCTCAGCCTGAAGGGCAGCCAAGACAGGCCCACAAAGTACCAGAGCTTATCTTAGTTGAGCACCTACATACTGTGTACTGGACTATGTGCTCAGCAGAGGTACATCTGCTCTCATTAATTCCCAACATCCCCAAAGGGAGTATTGTTATCCCGATTTTACTGATGCAGAAACTGAAAATCAGAGAGGTTAAATGACCAGCCCAAGGCCACACAGCTGCTTAGTGGCAGATCTTGTTTTCCTCCCAGCCTCTAGGCATCCCACTGTTCTAAACAGCCTTAAATACCAGGTAGAAATACCATGTTGCAGAATATACCCCCAAATGGGCTGAGATTTGCACAAGGGAAAGACTACTTCCCACTGCAAGTAATCAGGGGAGGCTTCTTAGAGGAAGAATCCTTTAGGCTGGACCTCAAGGACTGCTAAGAGGCTTACAGGCAGGAAAAGACAAGAATGTTCTGGGTCTCCCAGCAAGGTGATAGAGAGAAGGCTTGAGCCATTGCTCAGGTGTGTGACCTGGACATTTAATGTCCAGGAGGCGGACGGTAGTGTGACAAGTCAAATGTGACAAGTCATTTAAGCTCTCTGAGCCTCAGTTCCCTTACCTGTAAAATGGACATGGTAATATCTGTTTCACAGGGTGGTTGTGAGAATAAAGATTTTTAAAGATCTGGACCCTGAGAGTGGGGTTTGCTCGACAGCAACACCATCGACATTTTGGACCAGATAATTCTTCACCATGGGAACTGTCTTGTGCACTGTAAGATATTTAAGCAGCATCCCTGGCCTCCACCCACTAGATTTCTGAGCATCCACCAACCAAAAATGTTGGGACATCTGTAATGACAAAAATGTCTCCAGAAATGTGCCAAATGCCCCTGAGGGGCCAAATCACCCACTGAGAACCACTGCCTTAGAGATAGCCACAAGGATCTTCCCTCGCCTCCCTCAATGTCCCCTTCTCCAAGGGTCTTCCCTGACCCCTACTTAAAATCTCAACACCTCCCCCTGCAACCTTCTCTCTCCATATATTTTTTTTTTAAATCACAGCCTGTTTTTCTAACAGACCAAATTGTTTACTAATATATTTTTTGTATCATCTTGTCTTCCCCAGTTGGTGCTCAGCACTCTGAGGTCTGGAATCTTCGGCAGTTTTATTCATTGATGTGAACTCAGCCCCTACAACAGTCCCTGGCACATAGCTGATGTCCACTAAATATTTGCTCAATGAATGAACAAAATGCACAAGGAAGCGCTTTGTGACACATAAAATTGTAACCAACGAAGGAATAGAGGAATTTTTATTTAAATTCCACGGGGGCCTGGATCTGACACTCTGAAGTTAGCCTTCCCTGCCTTCCCCATCCGCCTCCACAGCTAATTGGGGGGCAGACCACAGCAGCTTAAAACAGATTTTTTTTCCCTCTTTCTTGCTGGGGCTTGAGTAGGAGTGAATGCGTCAGTGCTCGGCGAGAAAATTCTCTGCTCTGACTTGTATCTGCAGGTTGGTTATATAAAGCAGAGGAGCCTCCCGCCTGACACAGCCCCGCAAACCCACATTTGGGGACTGATGCAGCCGCCCTGCACCAGCTAGAAACCCCCAGCCCCCCAACCTCCACCCCGGGGCCTCTCTGGCTTCAGGACCGCCCCCTCGTCCTGCAGGGGCTCCCAGGGCATCTCTCAGAGCCACAAATAACAGTGTGGGTGAGGACCTCCGAGGTGGGCCTGGCCAAATGCCAGGAGGAGGAGGCAAAACTCAAGCTCAGAAAGGTTGAAATAGTGTATCTTCCAGCAAAGTCAGTGACCAAGATTAGGGCAGAAGCCTGATGTCCTAAAGCCTTAGGCTATAAACAAGAGTGTCCAGGGTACCCCCGGTCCGCTCACCACCCCCTCTTCATCTTAGCATAGGAACCCTTCCCCCTGCACCCACTGCCAGGCTTCCTATAAGTAATCCTCCTCCCACTTCCAAAATACCCTCGTAGGCTTTGGCGCCCCACGGCACCAGGAGGCAATAGTTAGATTTCACGGTGCAGTACATGGGACCAAAGAAGGCAAGAGCCCACTCAGGGTCATGGCTACGGCAAAGTGACCTCCATCTGACTCCCTGTCTTTCAGTGCTCACTATCTCCAAACACCTCTGGCCTCGGGATTCAAGCCCACAAAGCAGGAGACTAGCAGCCCTTGGCCCCTACTGCCCCCCACCCACCTGTTCCCTGGCCTGCTGGTTGGTTTCCCCCACATAGGGGGACTCGAAAGACAGTGTGTTCCATAGGGGTGTCCTGGAAGCTTGAGACCGTTTTCATCCTCCCAGACTTGCTGTGTGCCCCCAGGGCTCACTTGCTGTGAGCCTCTCTGAGCCTCAACGTGCCAGCCGGTCCAGCTCAAACAGTTCTCAGAGGCCATGTGGCCCACAGAGGTGATGAGCACGCAGCCAGGCTCTCTCCGGCCCTACTTGCTGGCTCTGCATCCTCGGGCCAGTTTCTAGACCTCCCTGGGCCTCCATCTTAATCATGTCAGTGGGATGAATACATCATGCCCTACCAGGTCCTGGGCTCCAGAGAGCCAGTATCTGGAGGTGAAAGCCTTTTCTGAGCTATGCTTGGAGGAGGAGGACGGTAGCATGGTCGAGATACAGGCAGAGGGACTGGGGCTGCAGACCAGAACAAGAGCAACAAGCCCAATCCATGATCTGCAATGACCTTGATCTCTACTGGTCCTGGGCCCCCTTCTCGAAATCAGGGCAGGAGAAAATCCTAACTGTGACTTGAGACTCAGGAGTCAGGGTTTCAGGTTACACATTAACCCCGGGAGGGGAGACGCAGCCCACTGTAAACCAGGGCCGCCCCCCGCCCCCCCCCCCGCCCCCCGTGCCCAGCACGAACCTCCTCAGCCTTCCCTGTCTCCCTCCGCCGCAACACCCCCTTTGTGCCTGCCACCCTTGTGCCACCCACACCACCTCCTTGCGCTGCCAAGCCGTAGCCGCCTGGCTCACTGGGCCAGGCGGGCAGTCCCTGGAGCCTGGAAACTTTCCAGCGGGAGGGCAGTCCCAAATCTGGGGTCAGGGAGGAGCCCAGCCCCCTCCACCACACCCTCTGGGAGGAGCTGCTGTGGACCTTACCCAGGTGGGGCCTGGGGGCCCCGGTATCAGGCCTGAAGGGCACAAGTGGGGCCCGAGGCTCCCCTACCTAGCTCGTGCAGGAGCCCGCCCCACTCACCGGCCAGCAGTGCGGTCAGATGGCAGAGGGCAGCCAAGCGGAGCAGCCCCCAGAGGGGCGGAGGAGCCATGGCTGCGGGCGGCCGAGGGTCCAGGCGGGGGTCCAGGCGGGGGTCCAGGCGGGGCCGGGGCCGGTGCGTGAGCCAAGTGCTGTTCCCTCGCTGCCTGAGCTCTGTCGCTTTTTATAATGGGGCTCGCTGCCCCAGCCTCCGCCTCCAGCCGGCAGGCAGCGGGTGGGAGGGGAAAGGAAGGGAGCCAGCCAGTGTGTGGCGGCTGGATTCTTCAGGATGTTGCCAGGGAACGGGGCCAGCTCAGGCTCTGGGCTCCGGCCTGGGGGGGGGCGCGGGGGGAGGCTGGACCAGGCCTGAGAGCATTCAAAGGGCCTTCTCTCCCCCCATCTGCTGGGGTTACCCACCTCGGGCGCTGGCACCTGGGGCCCTAGCCCTAAGTGGGCCACGGAACAAAAGGGCAGGCTGGGGGAGTGCTGGCTGCCGGCAAGCCAGGAGGGATTCAGGACCCTAGAGTCTGGCTCTGACAAGCTCTCCTTTGGTCTGGGAGAGGTATCGCTCCCACATCATGAAGGACCCCCAATCTTTCCCCCTTGAAGCCTCGGCTCCTGGGGGGACCTCACTCATCAGTGTATCTCCGAGCCCAGCATGGAGCCTGGCAAACAGTAGGGGCTCAGTCCAGTCAATGTTTGCTGGAAGAATGATCCAGCCCAATTTCATAGGGACAAAGGGGGAAATTGAGGCCCAGAGAGGGGATGGGATCCCCCCAGGTCACTCAGAGAGCTAGGGTGGAGACCAGACTAGAGGCACGCGAGGGCGTGTGCAGGTTAGGACACAGAAAAGAGCACTGGCCTCCCTGCCTCCAGCTCCTCAATCTCTCCTTTCATCCTCCACACCCACGGCCAGCCCTGGCTCTGGCCCCTGCAAGGAACATCACAGCCACTGGCCTCACCCTGGGTCACTCGGTGGTCTTGGCTTGTCCTTGGCTCGGCAGGTGCCCTGGGGGACGTCCTGCCTCTCTTGGGGGCCTCAGCTCCCTCTCCGCACAGGAGGGAGTTGGGCTCGCCCACTGCGGAGGGAGCTTCGCAGCTCTGACTTCCCCGCTCCTCGCTCCTTTCCAGGTGGGGCTGGGAGGACCAGGTGGGACCAGCCCGCTCCCACCAGCCTCGTAGAAACACCTGCAGGTGTTCTCCAGCACAGCCTTCCCTGAAGACAATGGCCACAGTCCCTGAGACTCTAGAAGACTCCAGCAGTCGCCTAGCCCAGCCTGGTGCCCGAGTTAACCATGAACCCACCACTCCCATCTAGGTGTCTCTGGCAACTAGCCAGCCGGAAACCAGTGTGTCTGTGAGCCACACAGACACATGCTATGGAGCCAGCTGGTTTAGGCTGGGCTGGGCAGAGAGGTCTCAGCTCCCAAGGCCAGAGGCTCCCCCTCCCACCCAGCACAGTAGGGGGCTGGGGCACTGAGGTGGGAGGCTGGACACTCCTTCTCGATGGGGAGAAGCACCCCTGGCACGGACCAGTTGCATTCAGCCTCAGAGAATCCGGCCCAGTCCATGCAGATAGAAAGCAGGTGACCTTCACATTTCCGTTGTCCAGCCCCTTCATCTTATGACCGGGAAAAGTGAGGCCCAGAGAGGGACAAGGTGTGATAACACCTGCAGTCCAAGGTTCTTTCTGCTCTGCCCATGGAGGTAGGAGCAGATGAAGGAGGGGGCAGATGGAGGGGGAGAAAGAAGAGAGGGAGGAAGGGAAGGGAAGGGGAGCAGTGGGAGAGAAGGGGCAAGGGACGAAAGGGGCTGGGGAGGGGAAGGCATGTGGGGAAGAGAAGGGGAGGCAAGGGACAAGTCCTGGGAAGCCCCACACTTCATAAAGACCAAGAGCCAGGTTGGGCAGGGATTTGGAGGGTTAAGATCCTTGTTCCCCTGGCCCCAGACTTTGCTCCAAAGAAGTATTTAGGAAGCAGGGGCTTTGGAATCCCATGGTCCCAGCTCTGGCACTACTGTGTGATCTTCGGCAGCTTCCCTACCTCTCTGAGTGCACACTTACTCTGAGACAGGCACTGTTTTAGTGCGTTGTGTGATTAACTTGGGTCACCAGGGCCCGGCGTGTGAGCAAAACACCACTATCGTGGTCCGTTTTATGGATGGGGAAACTGAGGAATGCAAGAGGGAGTTGGGCTCCTCCTGATGATCACCAGCCAAGAAGTAGGGGAGCCGGGTTTGCCCCAGCCCACTGGCCTTGGAGTCTGAGCTCATGACCAGGAGGCTACACCACCTCCCTCCAACCCCACTGTGAGGACAGCTGAGAATTAAGTGAAGTGATGCCCAGAAGGTGTCAAAACACAAAGTACAGCTCTGCTTTTCCTTGCTCAGCCCTTGGGGACATCCCCTACCCTCTTCCGGCTCAGCTCCTCCCCCCACAAAATCGGAATGGTCAGCCCCACCTATCTTACCCAGGTGTTAAGGACTGAGTTTAGATGACTCAGTTTGGACACAGTAACTAGGCTTTCAGGTCAGCCAATCAGGCAAACGTGATCCCACCACTTAGAAGAATCACCTTTGGCAAGTTACTTAACCTCTCTGAGCCTCAGCCTCCCCATCTGTAGAATGGGATGCTAATAGCCACTTCACCAACTCACTCACTGGGGGAGGTCATAAAACGAAGGACTTTCGCAGTGCCTTGCATGCAGGAGCCATTGGGATTTGCTGGTAAGCTCTGGTGTGTGCCTGGCACCGTGGTGGGACCAGGGACCCAGAGGCAAGTACGCCAGGTTCTTGCTCCAAGGAGCCCCAGCTCAATAGGAGAGAGAAGTCCTACCAGAGACTCTAAGGCTGTGGGCCTGGGAGAGGGAGAGAGGCCTTTATTCTTGTCCAGGAATCAAGGAAAGCAGGAGTGAAAGACGATGTTTCGATCAGAAGAGGGGCAGACTTTTGCTTTGTTTCTTTTCCGCTATTGTTTTGAAGATTCTAAACTGAGGTATCTGGGTGGCTCAGTCAGTTAAGCATCCGACTCTTGATTTTGGCTCAGGTCATGATCTCAGGGTCCTGAAATCGAGCCCCCCTGTCGGACTCCAAGCTGGGCATGGAGCCTGCTTGAGATTCTCTCTCTCTTTCTCCCTCTGCCCCTCCCACCTCCCTGCTGATGCACACAGCCTCTCTCAAAAAACACTAAAAAATAAAAATAAATTTTAAAACATGATAAACAATAAAGAAGAAGGAGTGAAACAAAGACTTTTCATATCCTAAATTCAATGATTAGCATTTTCCCATACTGGCTTCATTTTTTTTTTTTTTTTTTTTTTTGCCAAGCCATTTCAAAGTAAATTATGGATGTCTGAAACTTTGCCCCTAAAGCCTTCAGCATGCATCTCCATAGTATAAAGACGCACTATCTTACATAAATATACTATTATCCCACCTACCAAAATTAACAATAATTCCTATATGTCATGTAACATTCAGTTAATAATTAAATTTCTCCATTGTCCCAAGATGTATTTTATAGCTTCACCTTCCTTTCTCTTTCCTTCTTTCTTTGCCCCTTCCTCCTTCCCTTCCTTCCCTCCTTCTCTCTTACTTCTACTTTTTGAACCAGGATCCAATCTAGGTTTATGCCTTGCAGATGACATTTCTTTTTAGTCTACAACAGACCCCCTGCTCATTTTTCAAGGCATTGACTCGCTGAAGAGTTTTAAGACTGTTGTCTTTTTTTTTTTTGCCCAAGGTTTATTGAAGATAATACAGCACAGCAAAAGAGGTCTAACTCATAGGAAAAGACTGTTGTCTTATACACTGTTCCCATTCTTAATTTATCTAAATGGTTTCCTTGTGATGTCATCTAATTCATTCCCTTAACTTATGCTTTTCCTGTAAACCGGAGTTAGAACTACAGACTCGATTCGATCGCGGCTACATATACTTGGCAAGAATCTGGCATGAGTCATACTGTGTACTTCACGGAGCGGCTTACATCCACCACGGCACAGGCTGTCCCACTGCTCGTGGTGGGTTGACGGGCGGAACCAACCCCAGATCTCTGGCTGGAGAAGTGTCAGCCCCTTTGTGATTTGTAAGTAACCCGCCCTGTGCCGACGGGCCGGACTTTGCCATACTATTCCAGGCAGAGGGCAAACCTAACCAAGGCAGAAAGGGAATGGGGAATGGTCCGGTGCCATCGGCTCTGAGGAAGGCGTGGGCAGGGAGGCTGCCATGGGACCCCTGGAAGCTGGAGTGAGGAACGAGAGTCCTGTTCAGGGGCAGAGGGGGGCTGGGGAGCTTCTGAGCTGAGGAATAGTTAGAGCAACAGTTGGAAAAGCCCTGGGCAGTAGGACAAAGGGTTTCCTCGGGCAGTTAGTGGACAGGAGGGGTTGGGGCATCTCTGCCCACACCTTTCTCAGGCCATCTGCCAGCCTGCCTGGGTGCCCCAGGGAGCAGGCAAGCCTGCATATTCCTGTGGGACGCGAGGGACTCCCCTAGCCCCCAAAGCAGAACAGAAACAGCCGTGGGGAGCAGGGCGGGGCCCCCGGGACACTCCGGTGGGGTCCCAGGATGGTAGGAGGGCCACCTCCAGGGCCCCTGGGGGACGATCCTGCCTAATTCTTCCCTGCCTCACCCCACTCTGCTCAGCTCACCTCTTTGGGTCCATAAGAAGAGCCACTCACATGTACTTGGCCCTTCGCCCTGTCTGGGCATGTGCCTGGCCACACCCTCTTTTATACTGTGGTAAAATATCTGTATCATGAAATTTACTTTTTAACCACTTCTAAGTGTTCCGTTCAGTGACATTAAGTACATTCACAGCGTCATGCAACCATCACCGTCATCCATCTTTAGAACTTTTTTATCTTGCCAAACTCAACTGCGGGACCCATCAAACAACTAACTCCCTCTTCCTCCTTCCCCCCAGCCCCCGGCAACCACCAGTCTACGTTCTGTCTGAGTTTCACTACTCTAGGAATCAGACAGTATTTGTCCGTCTGTGACTGGCTTATTTCACTTATCATGATGTCCTCAAGGTTCATCCATGTTGTCCAGCACTTCTCTCCTTTTTAAGGCTGAATAATATTCCATTGTGTGTGTGCACCATATTTTGCTTCTCCACTCACCAGTCAGACACGTGGGCTGTTTGGTTATTGTAGAGAATGCTGCTATGAACATGGATGTACAAATATCTCGTCAAGTCCCAGCTTTCAATTCTTTTGTGTATATCCCCAGAAGTGAGATTCCTGGCTCATACAGTAATTCCGCGTTTAATTTTTTGAGGAAGTGCCCTCCTGTTTTCCACGGTGACTGCTCCATTTTACATTCTCACCACCAATGCATAAAGGTTGCCATCTCTCCAAACCCTCACCGATCTTGTCTTTTTTTTTTCTTTTAAGATTTTATTTTTAAGTAATCTCTACACCAACGTGGGGCTTGAACTTACAGCCAAGATCAAGAGCCATGCTCCTGAAACCAATTCATTGAATTTAAATAAAAATAAATAAATTTTTAAAAAAGAGTCATGCTCTATTGTCTTTTTTATAGTAGCCATCCTAATGGGTGTGAAGTATTATCTCCTTGTGGTTTTGATTTGCATTTTCTTGATGATGAGGGATGCTGAGCATCTTTGCATGTGCTTGTTGACCATTTGAATATCTTCTTCAGAGAAATACATATTCAAGCCTTTGCCCATTTTGTTATTGGGCTATCTGTACCTTCTTATCTCCTTGGATTCTCACAACCTCGTGCACTGATATCTGCTTTTATTGCCCTCTGATCACAGAGGGAGAGATTGAGGCTCACAGGAACCAAGCAGCTTGCCCCTGACACCAGTCAGTGAGAGTTCCTGGAATTGTCTGAATCCATGACACGTGCCCTTCCCGATGCTTGTCCCTGCCTCCCAGACTAGTGCTCTTGGTGTCTGAAGCCGCTGCCCTGGATATCCCACCGTGAGAGCCAGATCTAAAGGGGAGCAAAGACCCCCAGTGCCAAGATGTCTGCGGAGCGATGTTTAAACTGACATAATAAAGATGTCCCAAGGACGGAGGAGTCCTTTTCTGTTGTTCTGGCAGAATGAGTTATGTCTAGAACTCCAGGAAAGTGGGCCCATGTGAGAGTCCAGAGGAGTCAGCACCACATGAACTAGACACTCCCCATACTCTCTCCCTCCTCCTCCGAGACACACAGCTTGGCTATACTTCCCAGCATCCCTTGTGGTCAGGGTGGCCACGTGACTGAGCTCTGCCAACGGCAGGTGGACAGAAGCCAGGAGCCCCCTTCCTGGCCTGGCTCCCACCAGCCTCATTTTCCTGTAGAGGAGTCCAGGTCCTGGAGGAGGGCAGGACCAAGAGAAGGAAGGAGCCTGGATCCTTGAACGGCCACGTGGAAGGTCACTCACAGACCAGGATCGGATGTCACAGGAGAAGAAAAAAGCTTGTGTGGAATCGAGCCACTGAGATTTTGGAGCTGTTTGTTGCAGGAAGCAACCTTTCCTGACTAATACACTCTCCTCCTCTGCGTTGCCGCTTGAAGGGGGAAGGTTGAGGTTGGGTTATTGAATCAGTGACTGACTGAATGAATGAATAAATGAATGAATATGTTGCCTGAAGCTCTAGACTTGGGGACTGAATGAGTGATTTCATCAGATCCTCCTGGCAAGCGGTTCGGCAGCGGCCAGGCCTGGCAGACAAATGTCTGGGGTTGGGCACTGGCGCAGATCCTCCCCAGGTCCTCATGTCTAGTCCTGCCTCCCACCGCCTCACAGGCTGACCTTGGGCAGGCCAGCTCACATGTCAATAACGTCAAGGGCTTCCCCACTGGGAGAGAGGGGGCGATGGTGTCCCCTGCCCCACCTTACCGGGACAGCAGATGCCAAGGAAGCAAGCAGACACTGTTGTAGAGGATTTATTTTTTCAGAAGGCCTGAGTGACAAGGGCAGGACAGGAGAGGAGGGGAAATCCCAGGGCCCTATGCACGGGCAGTGGGCAGGTTAGCACTCCAGGGAGGAGTTTTATTCCCCATGTCTTGGACCTAAGCCCCACAGCCACCCCATAAGATGGGTATTCCCATTCTCAAGTGAGGCTCCAGGAGGTTCAGTGGTCTCAGAATCCCAGAGCAACAACCACCCTGCTGCACCACCCCAGGCCCCCTCGGAAAGAAACAAGCACTTATAAAGTTTATTTCTTTTGCCTGGTGAACCTACGGTCCCCAAGGAAGTGCAGATAAGCCCTAAATCCCAGTCCTTATGCTGACCCCTTCCACCTGAGAACAATCTTCACCCAAGGCTCTTTCATTTAACTATGCCCCACACACTCCCAGGGCCAGAAAAGCTCCGCCTTGTCCCCCTCCCGCACAGTTCCTAAAGTTCTTCCATTCATCCACTTGGCCTCTTAAGCATTTGCCCTCTTTTCTTATAAAAATACAGCTAGAGCTTGCTAGTACTGACAAGCAAAGGGTAGTCATTCACACCATAGCGAAAGTTTGGTTACTGTTATTTGGGAAAAGAGAAAGGGAAAGTGGGGGACTCTGAAGAGGTCAAGCCTGGGTGTTGGAGGTTGGAGGAGCAGTCAAGACCAGAGGGAAATAAGAAAAGTAAAGAGGTGACACACATAAAAGTAAAATGGGAAGTAAGGTGAATCTGGGCAAATTTGAGGCTTCACAATTGACTCAGCTGGCTGCTTTCTAGATGAACTTGAGTCTCTGTATTGATGTGTGAGGGTCTTTGTGGGGTGGGAGCTGGGAGAGGAACATTACTTTTATTGATTCAGCCTCTAGCCATTCATTGAGCCCTGATTCTGAGCCAGGCCCTGTGCTCTGGGCTCTGTGTTAGAGGCCAGGAGACAAAGTAACTCCAGCGTGGGACCTTGGTCCAACCACTGGGGCTGAAGGGCAAGCCCCCAAGTCCTGAGAATTCTGGGCAAACTGTGACTGGGGCTGTTAAGAGAGGGCAGAGGGTCAGGGGACATCTGAAAAATAAAACTCAATTGCTTGCTGCTTGGGTTGTGCAATGCCTTGGAGGGCCGGGAGGGTTGGACACACACAGGTGATGGAGAGACATTCTGGGCATCAGGAGCAGCCTGGAGAAAGACCTGGAAGTGGATGTGTACGGCATGAGTTTGGAAAACAGGGAGCTGGAGTCCAGTATGCATGAAGGGAAGTGAGGCAGGGCTGGAGGCAGGGGTGCCAGGCTCCCGAGCTTTCACCTCAGCCTGGGGCAAAAATGGGGAGCCAGGGGAGGGTTTTGAGCCAGGGAGTGACTGAGCAGGACTGTGGCCTCTCTGGCTATGGTCAGGCAGAGGACGGTTTGGAAGGATAAGAGGGGAGATGGGTGAGAGTGTGGAGGCTCGTCTGAGGGTGATAGCTTCAGGGACAGAGATAAAAGATGGCGGAGGGATTGGTTGGCCCAGGCTTGTGTTGGCGGGCAGCTGTAATGGCCAGGAGGCGGGGCTCTGTGAGCCCTTCCGGATGAGCCAAGCCCAGGAGTCCTCATGAGTCCAGTTTCTGGAGAATCTTCTTCACCCAGGGCATTCTGGGGTCAGCACAGATCTCCCGGTCCTTGACAGTTAGGAAGCTGGAAGGAGGAGAGAATGAGGGAGCCTTAGCATGTGGCAAGATTGCCACAGCCCTTCTCTGGAAGCTTAGCATTTATGAGTCACTTACTTACTGTGTGCAGAGATGCCCCCCATACAGAGTCACTTAGCATGTATGAGGCCCCTGCTGTATGTAAACACACTTCTTCAGGGGGAGAGGGGGAGAAGAGCGGCTAGGACTTACTTCCTGGACTCTCAGTCCCTCAGCCCCAGGCTTGAGTGCCAGGTCAGGCCAGGGAATAGAGTGCCCAGGAGTCTCAGGACCATTGCTGACATTGCCCTGGGGGAGAGAATATTGGGTAGGAGCCAAGAGCATGAATTTAACCCAAGAGCCAGCTCATCTGGGTTAAAATCCTAGCTCTGACATTGCTAGCAAGTCCCTTAGTTTCCACATCTGTAAAATGGGAATGATCATCATGGTCCAACCTCATAGGATTTGAATGAAGATTAAATGAGTTAATACAAACTGACGTGCTCAGAGCAGCTCCCAGCAGAGAGTGAGGGCTCTGTAACTGCGCCAGGAGCTGGTCCGAACTCTTAACAATGATTTTCTTAATAAATCCTATGACGCCCTATTAGTCTACCCTTTTCATAGGTGAGGAAAGTAAGGCCCAAGGGGGTAAAGCAGCTTGCCCGAGTGCCAGAGCTGGTACGATCTGATTTGCTGTGCCCTCAGGAGCCCAAAGCACAGAGAAGAGAGGTAGGCACTGACCCAAGATCACACAGCAGTCATGGGCTAAGTCTCCCACCCTTGCCCAAGGTGTGGTAAGTAGCAGGCCAGGCCCTTGGGGCACTCTGCCTCAGCCCTTGTTGGAAGAAATGGACTTAAAGCTGGCTGGAAGTCAGGGACATCCCCACAGCTCGACTCCCTTCCTGCCTCTCAAGAGCCTGTCCATGGGGCCTGGAAGCTCCAGGCTCCCCTTACTCCCCTGACCTGCCCCCACCCCACGGACAACCAATGAACAGAAAGAACAAAGAAGGCGGCAATGTTGATCTTGGCCACGTGGGCAGCCTGCCCGGCTGCACCAGGCAAGACTCAGCCCCTCTCTGAACCTCAATCTCCCCATTTGTCAAGACACATTCTCTCTAGAGTTCCTTCTGGCTCTAAATCCAATAATCACGTGTGCTGTCTTTTACCAAGCATCTGTTATATGCCAGGCACCGAGCATTACACCTTCCACTTACTATTACCGTGTCCTGCACTGTTCAAGAGGTTCCATAACCTCTCTGTGCCCCTTGCCTCACCTGGCAAAAGGGGATCAGAACAATACAAACAACGTAGGGTTATTTCAAGGATTAAATGAGTTCAAATTGATGAAGTGCTCAAACAGTGCCTAGCATTTAGCAAGCACTCTTTACAGATTTGATAAATAAAAATAAATGGGCGCCTGGGTGGCTCAGTCGTTAAGCGTCTGCCTTCGGCTCAGGTCATGATCCCAGGGTCCTGGGATCGAGCCCCGCATCGGGCTCCCTGCTCGGCGGGAAGCCTGCTTCTCCCTCTCCCACTCCCCCTGCTTGTGTTCCCTCTCTCGCTGTCTCTCTGTCTGTCAGATAAATAAATAAAATCTTTAAAAAAAAAAATAAATGAAGGAAGCGTGCCTGCACGCTCAGTGGGCGGAGCGTGCGACTCTTGATCTCGGGTTTGTGAGTTCGAGCCCCACTTTGGGTGTAGAGATTACTTAAAAGTCAAATCCTTAAAAAAAAAAAAAAAAGCCAAATCCTTAGAAATAGATACATAGATAGATGTGATCACTCCTGTTATACTGATGGGGAAACTGAGGCTCAGCGTTGAAGCGACACCAACCCACTTCAGCCCTCTTTGTTATTCACCCACACACCCCTGTGAGGGATGGAAGATGAATATGGAGGAGGAAGATGAAAAAATGATGGAGCCTCAAAGGGGGTCATGAGGCCCCAGGCCCAGACACCCCGCTGAGCAGGTTGGCAGGCAGCAGTCTGGAGGGGCAGCCCCAAGGACAGGCCACGTCACCCGGCCAGTGGCAGTCGCCACCTCGGGCTCCAGGCCAAGGAAAAGGAAGCAAAGACATGGAGAGAAAGAGGCAAAAGAGAACAAGAACCACAGGCGAAAGCCCTGAACGGAGATCCAGGAGTCCCGGTTCCAGCGGGGGCAGCCTTGAGCAAATCACTCCCCCACACACACACCCCGCACCTGTTTCTCCATCTGCAAAATGCAAATGATCACGCTCCTCGTAGGAAGGCTGTGAGGGTGACCCGAATTCACACAGGAATGCTCAGAACCGCGCCTGGCCGTCTGGCCATGGGATACACTCTCTGTCAGCTCAGTACTCTTTGGGGAAGAATGGGCTGCCTCGAATAACTCCCAGGGAGCTGGGGAGGATTCCAGATGCTTCTGATGGGAGCATCGCTGCTGACTCAGAGGCTCTGGGCACGCCGCCCGCACCCTGCTCCCGGCGCTCACAGCTCCGCACTGCCCACGGACACACTCTATCGTGTATACGGACAGCCGGCGCCCGGCTCATTCAGCTCCGCAGTCTCGGCACCCAGTGGGCGCCCCATTATATTTGTTGAATGACCACACGACTTCTTTTCTTGGTACACCCAAGCCTGGGCTGAGCCGTTCCAACGATGGAGGCCAGTTGCACTCCTCCCATCCCTGGGTCTGCCCCCCGACCTGCTCGCAGGCCCTCCTGGGCCAAACCTGGCAGGCTCTCCAAGGCCAGGCCCTGCCTCCCCAGCTCCATACTCACACCACGCCAGGCCTCCGGCACGAGTCTGAGGTCCAGTAGAAAAACTTCAGCATGCGCAGGGGCAGAGGGTGACGGAAGTAGTCCCGGCAACAGATACTATCTTCCACGTTGGCACCAAAGGGACCTGGAGGAGGAGAGTGCTCGGAAGACTCACAAGCTGGACACAGGCAGGTCACCCTTGGCCCCGACCTCTGAGCCAGCACTTCTATTCTCATGTGGAAGGTTGGTGTCCCGAGGACTCTGACCCTCAGAGTCCCCAGGCTCAGGGTCTCTGAGGAGCACGAAGGGCCCAGTCTGGGCTGGGGGGCAGGGGAAGTGGTCAGCTCCAGGGAAAGGGACTCACAGCAACTGAGAATCAGCGAAGCCCTAGGCTTCTAGGTGGGACCCGGGACTGCACAGGAAGGAGCCCCAGCCATTCAAGGTGAGGCGCGTGCACGGGCACCATCAGCCTCCCCTGGGAGCTTGTCAGAAATGCTTGGCGCCCAGCCCCAGCCTAATCCCACTTCGGAGCTACTGGATCCAGACTCCAGGGGTGGGAGGGCTGGGGGTCTGCACCTTCAAGCCGCAGCCCTGCGGAGTCAGATGTGCATTTTGATGAGTGCCCAGGCAATCACAGAAGTCGGCTTCAGCTCACACCTACTCCCAACTTCGCGGTGCACGCGGGGAGGCTGAGGTTCAAGGAGGAGGATGTCTGGCCCAGGGTCACACAGCATGACTCTGGAGAGTCAGGATAAGGGCTCAGGCAGAGTCCAGTCGTGCAGACCTGGGTTCGAGTCCTGCTCTGCCCCGAGTCACCAGGCCACCCTGGGCAAGTTTCTTAACATCTCTGAGGCCCACTTGTCTCCTCCGACCAAAGGGGTGATAACAGTACCAAACCAATGGGGCCTTTAAGGCAGGAAAAGCTCCCAGGAACCCCCAAACCTGAGTAATTGTTGTTCCTAGCTGCCTCTCTCCCAGTCCAGTGCTCGTGCCCTGACCCAACACCAGAGAAGTTAGGGACTCAGTGTTGAGGGCAGGCTCTGGAGCAAACATGAGGTGTCGGGGGGGGGGGCAGGACCAGCTTTCCAAGAGAATATCCCTTACCCCAGCTCCTGCCTTTTTTTTTTCTTTTTTAAGATTTTATTTTTTTATTTGACAGAGAGAAACAGCGAAAGAGGGAATACAAGAGGGGCAATGGGAAAGGGGGAAGCAGGCTTCCCGCTGAGCAGGGAGCCCAATGCGGGGCTCAATCCCAAGACCCTGGGACCATGACCCGAGCCGAAGGCAGATGCTTAACGACTGAGCCACCCAGGCACCCCCCAGCTCCTGCCCTTTCCCATCCCAGATGGGCCCCTTTGGTGGCTCCTTCTCCATACCCCAAGGGTCCGATGCTTGAGTTCTCTGGAGTAGAGGACCCCAGGCCATGCCCCCTACCAGCTGAGACAGATACTAGACTACAAGTCTTCGAGACTACCCATTTCACAGATGTGTCAACTTAGGCCCAGGGAAGCACTGTGACTAGCCCAGAGCTAGCAGCAAACTGGGGTCATCTGCTCTCAGTCCGATGCTCTTTCTGCTTCACGAGGAAGATACCGCAGTGTCTGACCCTGGCCTCCGCAGGGAGCCCTCCCTCTTCGCAGCCTTACCTGCCTCAGTTGCTTGTGTCAGAGCAAGAAAGACAAGGGCAGCCAGGAGCGGAGTCTTCAGGCTGGCCATGCTCTTGTCCTTTGTGTCCCAGCCCAGGTGTCTGTAATCACCGGATGACAGGAAGGTCTGGTATTTAAACACTTGTTACACCCACAAGCCTCAGACGCTCTTAGTCACTGGTGGGCTCAGAATCTCTGACATTCACATTATGAAAGAAGAACTCCCGCTTCCTCCAAATAAAAGGAAATTCTCTGTGGCTGGGAACAGCTCAGAGGGGACCCCCACCCTGCCCTCCCCTCTGAGTCTCAAGAGACTTGTAAAATCCCCCATGAGCTGGGCTTCTTAGAGGCCTGTGCTCCCCAGGGTCCACGGACTGGATGGCCTTCACCATGTCACTGGATGTCTCTGGGAATCAGTTTGCCCATCTGGAAATGGGAGAGATGGTTTCACAGCCCTACCTATTTACCTCAGTGGTTGTTTGTAAGGCAGTGAGGATGTGGGCAGGGGCTGACCAGTCCTAAACCCTCACCTTGTAGCCTTGATGATCTTCACCCCTGATCTCTCTTTAAAGGAGAGGCCTGAGAACCCATTGGGCTGGTTTCTGTGCCCCCTACCAGCATCTTCTACCGCTTCTCACAAAATCCCAACTTGGGCCAATGCATGATCCCCTCAACAGTTGCAAAGAGCTTCCACACATTTCCCTCCTGCCTGTTCTTCCTTCCCAGCTGTCTCCAGTCTCTTCCTCATCCACCCCCTTCTCGATCTCTCACCATATCCACTTCCTATATTTCTCTTGGATCTGTCTCTTGGATATGTCCCCTCCTTCCCATGCCCATGGTCCCTGCCCAGTCCAGGCCCCTCCACCCTGGGCTCCGACGCTGGCCGTCAGTTCTCTCTCTCCACACACAGCAGCCAGTGTGGCCCACGTTCAAAGCTGCACGGGCCTTTCTCCTGCTTCAAAACCCTGCCGTGGTCCTTTGACCTGAGGGCAGAGCCCAAGCTCCTAACTGTGGCCTTCAAGGCCCCCTTCCCAGACATGCTCCCTCCCACACTGGTCTCCCTCCTCTGAGGGCTCACGCCACACTCCTCATACTTCCTCAAAGAGCTTGGCCATCCATGCCCTCTCTACTTCTCTACCGCATAAGCTCCTACTCATGCACAAGAGCCATTTGAAATGTCACCTTCTAGGTAAGCACACCCCTTCATGACTTGAAAGTTCTGTGGGGTGACCTAGAACATGGCCCTGAGGAAACTATGTCAAGTTTTCTCTTTCTCAGACCCCTTCCTAGAAGCGAAGCTCCACACTCTTGGAAGACAAGGGTCTGCTTATATCTGTCTTGGCATTTCCAGCATCTACCAAGAGTGGGGTACACAGTGGGTGGTCAGAACACACCCAATGAAGGAGGAAACTGAGGCTCAGAGAATAAGGGGACTTGTCCAAGGTCACACAGCCGGTAAGTGACTGAGCCAGCCTAGAAATTCAGGACTCAGCCCTCCATTTGCAAAGGGTCCCATCCATCCATTTATTCATTCATTCAACAAATATTTATTGAGCCCTGTGGTAGACAAAATAATAGTCCTCCCAACATGTCTTAATTCCCGAAATCTGTGAATATATGACCTTACATGGTAACAAGGACTTTGCAGATGTGTTTAAGTTAAAGATTGTAAAATAGGGAGGTTGTCTGGATTCTCCAGGTGGGCCCAACGGCCTCACGGAGTCATTGTAAGAGTGAGTCAGACTCAGAGGAGGAGACGGAATGACGGAAGCAGAAGTCTGGGAGATGCAGGACCATGAGCCTGGGAATGCAGATAGCCTCTGGAAGCTGGAAAAGGCAAGGAAACAGATTCTCCTCTGGAGCTTCCAGAAGGAACATAGCCCTGTTGACACCTCGATTTCAGCCCACTGAAACTGACTGAGGACATCTGACTTCCTGAACTGGGTTTGTGTTGCTCAAAGCCACTATATTCATGGTCATCTGTCATAGCAGTAAGAGGAAACTACTACGAGCCCCCATCATGTGCCAGGATCTGGGACATGGCAGTGAACACATCCCTGCTAGCGTAGATTTTACCCTGGAGGCTCACGATAAAGAGGCAAATACCAAACAGGGTAATATCGGGCCATCATGAGTGCCGTGAAGAAAATCAAACAGAGGAAAAGAGACAGTGATGATTGGGGAGCAGTTTTGGGTGGTCAGTAAAGGCCTCTATGAGGAGGTGACATTCAAGCTGAAATGCACAAGATACCAAGAAGCTTGCTAGGGAAGAAAAGGCAAGTGCAAAGGACCTCGCAGGGCAAGGGGAGCCTGGGTGGCTTAGTCAGTTGAGTGTCTGCCTCTTGATTTCAGCTCAAGTCATGATCTCATGGGTCGTGAGATCGAGCCCTGCGTCGGGCTCAGTGCTCAGCACAGAGTCTGCTTGAGGATCCTCTCTCTCCCTCTCCCTTTGCCCCTCTCCCTGCTTGCATGCTCGTGCTCTCTCTCTCTCAAATAAATAAATACATCTAAAAAGCCCTGACAGGAAGAGAGGGCTGAGCACCTGGGGCAGAGCGGGTGGGGGAGCAGGAGGTGGCCAGGGGGTTCCTGTGAACCTCCCGATGGAGAGTCATTAGAAGTACACAGCATCACCTGGGAAGACCTCGTGTCAGAGGGCGTTACCCAAGGCCAGAAGGACAGACACTGTTATGATTCCACTTCTATGAGGTTCCAAGTTGTCAAATTCATAGAGACAGACAGTAGAATGATGGTTGCCAGGGGCTGGAGGGAGGAGGGAATGGTTAGGGTTTAATGAGCCCAGAGGTTCAGTCTGAGAAGATGGAAAAGTTCTGGAGATGGGTGCTGGTGATGGGTGCACAGCCACGTAAATGTACTTAATGCCGCTGAACTGTACTCTCAAAAATGGTTAAAATGGTAAATTTGATGTCATATATATTTTATCAGTTAAAAAAAAAAGAATGGCTCAGTTGGAGGAGCATGACCTCGGGGTTGTGAGTTCGAGCCCCACGTTGGGTATAGAGCTCACATACACACATATATACATACATACATAAATCTTAAAAAAAAGAAAAAGAAAAACGAAAGCATACGGAAAGATGCTCCACATCGTATGTCACCAGGAAAATGCAAATTAAAACAACAGTGAGGTACCACGACGTGCCCATTGGAATGGCCAAAATCTGGACCACTGACAGCACCACATGCTGTTGAGGATGTGGACCGAGAACCCCAATTCATTGCTGGTGGGGATGCAAAATGGTCCAGCCACTCTGGAATGCAGTTTGGCAGGTTCTTACAAAATGAAACGTACTCCCAGCATAGGATCCAGTGATCACGCTTCTTGGTTTATTTCCCCAGAGAAGTTATTTATGTCCACACAAAACCCTACATTCATATTCATAAATGCCAAAACTTAGAAGTAACCAAGATGTCCTTCAGTAGGGGGATGGATAAACTGTGGCATATTGAGACAATGGAATATTCTTCAGTGCTAAAAAAGAAATGAGTTATAATGAGTTCTCAAGCCATGAACAGACATGGAGGAATCTTACATTTACTTAAATATGACTAAGTTAAGAAGCCAGTGTGAAAAGGCTGAATACTGTATGATTCCAAGTCTACAACATTCTGGAAAAGACAAAACTATGGACACAGTAAAAAGATCGGTGTTTGCCAAGGGTTAGGGAGAGGGAGAGATGAATAGGCAGAGCACAGAGGACTTTTAGGGCAGTGGAAATACTCCTTATGATACCACAATGATGGATATATGTTAATAGCATATATTTGTCCAAACCCATAGAAAATGTAAAGCCAAGGGAAACCATAATGTAAACAATGTGATAAGGATATGTCAATGTAGGTTCACCAGTTGTAACAAATGGCCCACTCTGGCTGGGGATGTTGATAATGCGGGAGACTATGCATGCATCGGGGCAGAAGGTACATGGAAATGCTCTGGACCTTCCTCTCAATTTTGCCGTCAAATTAAAACTGCTCTAAAAAACTGAAGTCTTTAAAAAAAAAAAAAAGAAAGAAAGAAAGAAAGAAAAGGTGTTACCCAGAATCTAATCAAACTTCTAATCCTAACTTCTAGTTTGTAAGAAATACAGAGGCTGGAAGAAGATGAACGACCTCATGAGAAGACAGACATCTCCGGAAGGTAGGTCCTTCCAGCCCCTCTACAAGGTAACTATCCTGAGATCAACAAAAAGTCAATGTTGTTTAAAGAAAAAAGTGGATGGGGATATTTAAGGTTAAGGAGATTTAAGAGACATAACAGCCCAATATGCGCAATATGTGGACTTCGAATCCTAGTTTTGGAACACCTGCTACAAAAGACATTTGGGGGACAGATGGGGAAATTTAAATATTAGATGATAATTAGGGCTTTATTGTTGATCTTCTTAGGTGGAATAAAGACTTTAAGAATATGTAAGAGAGGGTGCCTGGGTGGCTCAGTTGGTTAAGCGACTGCCTTCGGCTCAGGTCATGATCCTGGAGTCCCGGGATCGAGTCCCGCATCGGGCTCCCTGCTCGGCAGGGAGTCTGCTTCTCCCTCTGACCCTCCCCCATCTCGTGCTCTCTCTCTATCTCATTCTCTCTCTCAAATAAATAAATAAAATCTTAAAAAAAAAAAAGAATATGTAAGAGAACGTCCTTGTTCTTAAGAGATGCACACTAAAGCATTTAGGGGTGAAGGTCACGAGGACCTTACTTTTGAAGAGTCCATGTTCAGGGGAAATATATATGTCTGTGTATGTACATGTGTATATGTAGGTGTGTGTATATATAGATGTGCGTGTATATGTGTGAATATGTATGTGTATATAGGTGCATGTTGTGTGCATGTGTAAACATATGCGTGTTTGTATATGTGCGTGTATGTAAGTGTATGTGTGTATGTGCTTAGTGCATATGCGTGTGTGTGCATACGTGTGGTTGTGAATGTCAACGTACTTGTATATATATACTGATATCCCAGAGAAGGAAAGAGAGAGACAAATCCAATATAACCAAATATGAACAATGTTGCAGCCAGGCGGTGGATATGCTAGCCATCATTGAACTACAAAATTCCTGAGCATTTAAAGTGTTTCAAAAT